TTAAAAAAATGAAAATTTGGTAGTTTTTTTATTAATTCGGGGGCTTTTTTTTTTTTTTTTTTTTTTTTTACCAAATTCTTTTTTACTGTTGATCTGTTGGATTGATACTTTTTACTCTTACTTGAATATAATGTTTGGGTACTTTATTCACCTCTGAAATTAAATGGTCAGTTGGTTTCATGCTGTATAATGGCTGCTGGGAAAGACAAAGTGTTTTGTTGTTGACTTACCATCCAGAAACCATTTGCTGGATTCTTGTTGGTTGTGCAGGAGGCTCTACTTCTGTTTTTCAAAGATGTATGGTTGAATATTTGTGCTTCTGTTTGCATCTGTTTTCACAGGTGGTTGTAAACGTTGAGTTGTGGGCGTGGCCAGCAGCAGTTTGTTTAGATTTAAAGTGACAGAACCCTAAAACAGTTTATTCTGAACTGACCAGAATAAAATCTCATTATTTAAGAATTATTTTATACAAAAAACATAATAATCATGTTTTGTGTAGGCCATAAACCAGCCTAACCTGCTCACAGAAGCAAAATAATTCACCAAGCAATATTTATCACGGACGTTGCATTATAATATCAGGAAGTTGTGGCAACTTCTGAAGAATGGAAGATTAGCTGGTAACTTTCCACATCCTGCCGACTCAGGCATCATGTGACTGATGATCCAGAGAAACTTAATGATTTCACCGTGACTCGGCGTGATCGGCTTCAAGAAATATGCTAGTCATTAGGCTGCAGACACTGTGTCAGATTTAAAGTACGAAAAAGAGGAAATTTTAAGTTTATGACAAGATAAACGAAAACCTTATGTTAGACAACATCCTGAGTCAAAATGTCAACATGCTTCTGATGTAACAAATTGCAGAAACGGAAACATAAAAGAAATGCCACTTGGTTTCTCAACCTAAAATGTGGTTTGCTGTGAAACAGAATCGCTTTCTGAGATTAAAGCGAAACTTTTAGTGGATTTCAGCTCAGGAAACGTTTCAGGAAGTTCAGTTTTCCTGATAAAGTTCAAACCTGAACCTTCATGGATCCATTTAACCCCAAACTGCAAAAAACAAAACATTACCAAGTATTTTTATCTGGTTTTATCTGATTCAGTGCACTTGAAATAAAACAAAACTAAGTTTTTGGCAAGATATATGAACTTGTTTAAGTAAATAATTCCTTAGTATTGATGAAAAGTTCTGGTTTCATTTGCAGATTATTTCACTCATAAGATATTTCTTCCAAAATATTTACAGGTAAAGTTAATAAAAGTATGAACTTTGGAAGGTTCTGGGAGGAATTATAATCTATTTAGACGTTATTCGTAATTCTCTCCTGTCATTAAAAACCAAACAAGCTTTCTGCTGAATGTAAAATTACTTCATTCTACCACAAACTTCTTCTGGAGTAAATTCCTCCTGTACTTTGTTGCAGAAGCAGACGTGGTGCTTTTGTTGTTTTGCTTTGAAATGAATAAAACAACAATAAAACCATCTGTAGTTGATCTGGAAGTTACATTTCTGAGTTGTGAATCAGCAGAAGTCGGCGGCGGCTGTTAGCTTGACGCCTCGTTCAGGAGTCCTCCCTCATTCTTTACTCACATAAGATACTGACTGCTCATAATTACCCAAGACGACCACATTACAACAGAGCTAAAACATTTGGGTGGATTTTTACTCAGACATTAAATGTTTGGTAGGATTGTCTTTTAAACAGTTGGAGCGTTTTGGTTAGGAGTTAGTTTGACCTTTGACCTCCTTCTACTGACCTGTTCCTTTCCAGATTTCTCAACGCCGCTTTAACTGCACTACCTGATGTTTTGTGATGTTGATTCAGAGTAACATGTTATTCCCATGATGCCATCTATTTTGAGAAAACACAGCATGATGCTGCCACTGCCGTTCTTCAACAACGTTTGACAAACTTCCCCGTATCCTGCAGCTGCAGCTGCCACCATCATGACCAAACAGTTTTAGTTTCATTTGGTTTCTGACTCTGAGTGGACGAAGGACTGCTTTCACTCTCTGACCAGAAACCGGATCAAATACTTTAACTAGACACCTGCAGAAACATGGAAATGGTTCCCAGCAATGGACCAGTTACCTTCCTGAAGTTACGTTTTTACTTTTTCATGATGGAAACTGTCTTTGTTTTTACTAAACGTTATGAATTAAGCTGTTAAATGTTATTCATGAAACCATGACATTAAAAATTATTTAATCCTGGTCAATTAAAAGCTGGATTTAGAAAATCCTGAACCAGGAAAAGTTTATTTATATACTGCAGAGTCATCTTCAATAAATCAGAGTTTACTTCCAGTGAGTTTCATTTGTCTGGTTAAAAGTATCGACATAAAATCGACATTAAACATACTTTACATTAAAGCTACATTCTAATTTTAATTATAATTAACAGAAATAAAAGCTTTAAAACATCTGTGTGTAATTAATAATGTTTAACTTGGAGGTAAAATTCCTAAAATAATTAGACTTTTTATTAATATCTTCATTTATTGAATTTATTTTGTTTCAAATTGAAGTTTGATGATTTTTGTCCATAAAAATGTTTGATGAAAGTTAAAATATTGACTTTTATCTGGATTTTTATTTTCAGAAAATTAACCAAGATGAAGAAAACCAAACATTAAGTTTTAGATTAGATATTTTTATTTCTAAAAACAATCTTTATATCTTTACAGTTTTACTTCAGAGTGAAAAGTTAATGCCTTAAAGTAAACAGATAGCTTAAAATATTTTACAGACAATTTTATCATTTATTAAACTCTTTGGAGCTCTGTAAATAAATATAAATATAGTTTATCCTCTACCTGCACAGTGAAATACTTTAATAAATAACGTTACCAAATTAACACTGAAAAACGGAATATTTAACGTGAATTTAGCTTAATTCTATTCTTTCATTTTTCTTATCTTTAGTTTTTAGTCGTACAGAGAAACAAATTAAATATATTTTCTGTTTTTCTGCATCAGCTGCAGATCTACTGATCTGTGGATGCAGAAAACGTCTCACTTTCTGCGGTTGTGGAGGCAGAAGAGGAGAAAGACGAAGACGTAGATGAAGAAGACGGTCCGGGTGATGATGATGAAGGCGGAGCAGCGGTGGATGTAATGATGGAGAGGAGCACGGAAGATGAAGACGAAGATGAAGTTGAAGACGAAGATGAAGTTGAAGACGAAGATGAAGATGAAGATGAAGATGAAGTTGATGGAGGGGTTGAAGCGACAACCTGAGGAGTGGACAGCTGAGCTTTGGCTCTCCTGTTGGAAAAGCAATAAAAACATAAAAATATGAGTTTAACGGTGAAAGATTGAAGTTATTAGGAATAAATCCAGGTTTAAACTCACCTCAGTTCTTGGATCTTCTGGAAAACCCAGGGAGCCTGAGGGTGGCTGCAGTAATGCCCCGTCTGGGTGGTGAAGCTGCAGGTCACAGAAAGAAGAAAACCATCAACCAGGGGTGTACAAACTTTTGTAAACCAGAAGCAAAAAAACTAACAACCTAAATTCAGCCAGATAAAGTAAACTGATGTCACTGTAGATCCAAATCCTGATTTTTACCAAGGTGCAGAAAAAATGAACAAATTTTAATAAAAAACTCAGAAATTTTCTAGAGAAATGAAAAGAACATTCAAAGTTTTTTTCGTTGAAGATTTCGACATTTTTTGTAGAAAATTTCTGAGATTACTCTAAAATTTTTGTCAGAAATTTACTTTTTTCTCCACAAAGGCCCTAAAAAGCCGCGGCGGATTCTGCATGTTTGATGTGTAAAAAGAAAAACATCCAGTTTTAAGTTTATTTTGGGTTTTATTGAATAAATGTATTTTAATTAATAAAAACATGATTTGGGTCACTTTGTTTCAAAGTGTTTGCTATATTAGCCAAGTTTAAAACAGAAAGAAATTTGGCTTTTCAGTAAAAGCTTCTGGATAAACCTGGTTTGACTTTTTGTTCAAACTTTGTTATAAAAAGACAAATTTTTTCTGTTCTATCTTTCATTTTCTGTGTAAGAAATGTAATAATTTTTACCATGGTTACAAATTAAAAGCCTCCATCTGAATCTAGGGGACAAATTTGTATCATTTTCAATAGCAGTCGGGGGGGCCGCACAAAATCAGTCTGAGGGTCACAAATGGCCCCTGGACCGCATTTTGGACCCCCCTGCTCTAAACTATAATTATTTTAGCTGTAAATTAAACGATGATTCTGAAAGCTATCGTCTCCATGTTCCCATTTTAATCAGAAACTTTGCAGGTACGTACATGACGGCTGTCACACACGGAGGATTCGACCGCTGGACCTCAAACTTTATTATCGGTTCTTTGATCTCAGCTGTGCTGACTTTCTTACAGCAGCTAAACAACTTCTCACCTGAGAACAACAAAAAATCAAATATTTAGTCTTTATCAGGAATAAACATTAATACTTAACATTCAACTAAAGTTTGACCTTACCTGGATTTGCAGAAACAACCGCCATGATGACAGCGACCAGCGCGACCTTCAGCATGTTGATGGTAAGAAAGCAGGAGAATAAACAGAGAAGAAAGTATTTCTGGTCGGTCGGTCGTCTCACTTCCCCTCCACAGAGCTGGTGGTGAACTGACAGCCCTCTGAAGAAAACATCTATTTATTAAACTGAGAAAAGCAGAAGTTCAGTTTCTGCTTGTCAACCAGCAACAACTCAGCGCCTGACTAACTCAGATGACGATGATTTCACAGAGTAACTAAATTATATTTAGAGTTTTTGTCATATTTCATCCCTAACTGTGTGGGTGAATGGAAACCCTGGGAAATAAGAGGTCAACCTGATGGCATAAGTTCAGACATGAAGCTGTGGATTCACCTGTTCACACACTGCAAAAACACAACATACACTTGAAATAAGACAAAACTAACTTAGAAGTAACTTTACAGCAAGATACAGGAGCTTGTTTTAAGTAAATACTTTCTCAATATTGCTGAGAAAGTTTTTGTTCCACTGGCAGATAATTTAACTTAAAACATCTTATTGTAAGTGAAATAATCTGCCAGTGGAACAAGAACTTTTTAAATTAATACTAAGGAATTATTGACTTAAAATAAGCTCCTATATCATGATAAGAAAAAGTTTTTTGTAAGTAAGTTTTGTCTTATTTCAAGTGTACTGATGTTTTCTAGACAGAAAACTTTGTAAGATTTTGTGAATCAATGAAAGTCAAAATATTTTCAGAAAATTTAACCCATTTGGAGAATTTTTTGTAGAATATATCTAAAATATTCAAAACAAAATGCAGATTGGGAAGCTGAAATATTTAGGCTACTTGATCTACCATTGGCTGCCAAATGAGCCAATCCAGGAGCTGCGTTCATTTTGCTTGGTGCTGATTGGCTGAATGTCTCTGAGTGTAAATATTAATGAATATTAAGACATATTTGGTGTTTGGTTGTGTTTTCTAACCAACGAGAACCGGAGATTCACAGTAAATAAACAAGTAAAAACAGGTATAAAGCATTTCTTTTTGTTTTTGAAATCAATATAAACATGCTATAATTAACACCAAAAAGTAAAGCTAATAAATTATACAAAAAAAAAAAAAAAAATCCCAAAATGAGTCTAAAACTTATCAGGGCATATTGTATAAAAATCTAGGGCAATAAACTAAAATATAAATATTTTCAAATGGGAAGTCAACTTAAATGCATTTTTCAACTTCACAAAAACATAAAACAAATTTAATTAATTTCTCTAAAGAATAAAGCAGGACTGGTTTAACTGGACCAACATCAGAGTACATAATATCTGCTTACAATAAGGAAACATTATTTAATAATTGGTTTATATTTTGGATTTAAATTCAGGTTGACAACAAGTAAAAAAGGGAAGATTTTGAGGTCAAGATGTTCTTGTTTTGTGGAAGTTGCATTTATGTCTCAACAGATTTAGCAACGAGTCTCAGCATGACTTAATGCAACAAGTCACAATGTTTTCCCTCCCAGTAACAAAAACAAGCCATAAAAACTGATATCTGAACACCTTCAGGCAAACCTATATATAGATATCAAAACTATAACAATCCTGTTAGTCAGGATTAGTCACACATTAAACATTATTGTACAAAAGAACATAGAAATAATTTGTTGTCTCATAGTGGGGTAATTCAGGCGTTACAGCAGAAATGACGGAAACAAAGTTAAAAAAATATAAATAAACAAATTGCTATATGACTAACTCCTGACTCTTCCTTTATGCTGATAAATTGTCTTAATAGATTATTTTTGGTTCTATCTTCACGTTTCTGTGCAAATTTGAACATTTTTCTGTGAATTTATTTATATCCACATTATCGTCTCAGTGCTGCCCTCTATAGGTCGACCGGTGCCTCAGCAGGTTGTTTAAAACGGTACCGAGTTCAGGTAGAAACGTGTTAGTGAAACACACCAGTGAAAATTTAAGATTTTTAAACCTTTTTAACACCATTATGAATAAAATCTTTATAATGACCTTTATAATGATAGAAATGTAAAGATAATTGTGTAGATGTATATAAGTATAATGTTTGGCAACAGAAGAGAGCCAGTCGCAAAGATGAATGTTGCGACTAGCTAGCTAGCCAGCAGCTAATTAGCGGTAGCTGCATCCGGCTCCAGTCACAAATCGCAGTTTTTTGCACGAAACTCAAACCGTTTCTACTACATTGAATGTATGACATTAAATACTCCTGTGACAACAACATTTAATTCCTCTGATTATTGTATTTAAGACAAACTTACATTTTTAAATGAGTTTGAGACATTTTTAAGGCTGCAATGAACAATTATTTTAGTAATCAGTTATTTTCACGATTAATCAATTTTTTTTAACTTTGTAAAATACATTAGACAAAGATGCAAGTAAACAAATATTAATTATTTTCTTATCTTAAAAAGTAAAGTTTTGCCCAAAAGGCAACAGCATTACATTCCTGTACTGAATTTGAACCAAGTGAACCCAAAACTATAAAACTTGGTGGGTTTTGGCTAAAAATGTAAAAATATTTTGTACAGTTTTGGATTAATTAGTGCTCTGAATATGTTGTTTTTTCAGAAAATTACCTTTTTAGGAGGAAAAATTATGTGCAAGTGGAACTATCCATCCATCCATTTCCTAACACCCTTGTCCCTAGTGGGGTCAGGAGGTGCTGGTGCCTCTACAGCGAATATTTCAGGTGAGAGGCGGGGTCACCTGGACAGGTCACCTGGACAGGTCACCTGTCTGTCACAGGGCAACACAGAGACACACACACACACACACACACACACACACACACACACACACACACACACACACACACACACACTTAAGGAGGATTTAGAGAGGCCAATTAACCTGACAGTCATGTTCTTGGACTGTGGGAGGAAACTGGAGAACCCAGAGAGAACCCAGCATGCAGAAAGACCAGGGCCAGGAATCGAACCCAGAACCTTCTTGCTGCAAGGCAACAGAGCTCACTAGAACTTTTTAAATGTACTTGTTTTACGTAAATTAAATGATGCAGATAAAACAAGCTCTTATATCTTGCTAAAAGTTACTAGTGAGTTTTGTCTTATTTCAGGTGCACTAAGACATTTGCACTAGAAACTAGACAATAAATACTTGATAAGATTTTGTGTTTTTGCAGTGCAGGCTGGGATTTGAACCCAACAGCTACTGACGATATGAGATGGAAACCAAAATGAACAAATATTTTATGTAAAATCACATTTATTAATGCATAAAGTTCTTATTTTCCCAGATGTTTCCTTCAGAGTTCAAAGTTCAAGCATTAAAGTTTCTTAAGTTCCAAACATTTCCACAAATCACTGAGTAAACATTCAACATGTCCGAACTGCTTCATAAGTTACTCCAAATGTTTATAAATACACAAGGTAATAAATATAAACCTTAACTGTGTCAGAGCAGCAAATTTAGCTTTACCAAATAAATAATTTAACTAATGAAAGAAACTAAAAATCCTAAATTAATTCAATATAACTAAGCTGTTTGTTCCGGTGTTGATGAAACATGTTCAGTTGTTTTCGCCGGAGGCGGAGGTGATGAAGGTCGCAGAGCTCTCCTCCTCCTCGCCAGAAAACGAATCGCCAGATGAAATCCCGGAGGCGGAGCTGAAGAAAGAAGAGAAAGAGGAAGGAGGAAGGGTGGAGGGAGGAAGAGAAGAAGGAGGAAGAGAGGAAGGAGGAAGAGTGGAGGGAGGTGGAGCGGCGGCGGTGGATGTTATGATGGAGAGGAGGGAGACCGCTGATGGCGCTGATGGTGCTGATGGCGCTGATGGCGCTGATGGTGTTGATGGCGCTGATGGTGTTGATGGAGAGGAACTGGCTGCACCCTTTGCCTGAGCCTTCGCTGCCCTGTTAGAGGAAACGTAGAAATACAGATTATAGACGAGTAAAACAGAAGGATAAGCACTAGGAATGTCTATTTTAGACTTTGTGTTTGTTACAATGTAAAGCACCTGAAAGGCCTTGCTGCTGAAATGTGCTACACAAATAAAATTAGACTGATTGACAAACCTGAATTCGCTGATCTTTCTTTTAACCCAGGGAGCCGACACCTGGCTGCAGTACAGACCGCTTTCTGTCTGAAAGCTGCAGGGAAAACGGACACAAATGATTAGAATCCACATTTTATAAAAATCTAATTAGATTTAAGAATGAAGGTTAGCATCTTAAAATCGTACAAAATCTGATCAAATATTTATGTCTAGATTTAGTGCAAATATCTTAGATCACATAAAATAAGAAAATTAATTTACAACTTTTCACCAAGAAATAAGAGCTTATTATATATAAATAATTTCTTAATACTAGTTCCACTTATAATAAGATGCTTTTCATCTTATAAGTGAAATAATCTGCCAATTTTAAGAAATTACTGGCTTAAAACAAACTCTTATTTCTTGCTCAAAAGTTACTTTTAAGTTAATTTAATCTTATTTCAAGTATAATATTTGTACTAGAAAGTAGAGAAAATATTTAAGGTTTAATGTTTTTGCAGCGTTGAGTCTCCTTTTATTATTTTGCATATTCTGATTAAAAAGTGTAAAATTCTCTCATTAAAGATCTCATTTCATTGCAGTTTGAAGTTTTCGGATTGAAAATGCTCACATGATCGCCTGGACGCAGGGATAATTGGCTTTCTGGAACAGGAATCCCAGGATCGGCTCTGTGATCTCATTTCTGTTCACTTTTTCACAGCATGTGGCCAATTTCTCATCTGAAAATAAAGATTTAAAAAAACCTCTAAGCCTCAAATCATTTCCAGTTCAACACACACAAAAACAAACAGCTTCATTTTGAATCAGTCTTACCTGCGTGTCCAGAAGCGACCACCAAAGCGACGGTGACCAGCGCAGCCTTCAACAAACCGTCAAACCGGATCATTTTCACTGACTGAGGGGAGAGAAAGTGTCTGGTTCTGGTTCTGGTTCTGGTTCTGGTCAGCCGCCTCTGCTGTGAACTGACGGCTGGACGGACGCGCCTCTACTTAACGGCCCGAAAGCAGAAGTGGCTCCCTGGTTAGTCATCTTCCGACTCCCTCCACTCTGAACATGTGAAGGACGGAGATGCTGACTTCAGGGGAATTCCACCAAATGACCCAAAATCTTTACTCTTCG